CTCTCTCTCTCTCTCTCTCTCTCTCTCTCTCTCTCTCTCTCTCTCTCTCTCTCTCTCTCTCTCTCTCTCTCTCTCTCTCTCTCTGTTGTCGCTAATTAAAAAGTTGCGCGAGCCCCGCTAACGATTCATCGTGTTCCGGTCGAACTCGGTCTGGGAAAGTTTTATTCGCGCGCACAATGTTGGTCAGCACAGCTGTCCACGTTCTCATTTTGCAATTGTCACGGCAGCAACCATTGTAATAGTTATTGTATGTTATCGTTAATAATGACACTTCAATTTGCAATACGTAGCCGTTGGAAAACCAACGTTTCTAGCGGACACAGCCAATTAATGTAACTGACCTCTCGTCGGCCACTGAATTGAACTTACACTCCTGCGTAGGAGTTATTAATATTTCCAAGTCATTTGTCACTGATATTTTTAATAAATTGTTGTTGATTGTGGTCTGAAAACATGTATTTTAATCGTTCGAAGGTTACGTGCTGTTATTGATGATAATCGGGAACTTCCGGTAGAGGGTTTATTGATAATAAAATGCAAATAACTGCACGGTCGATAAAAAGTCATTTTAAATGAACGATTGATCCTAGTCAGAACTGCATCAAGAATGATTTAAATACCAATAATTATTTTGTCCTCTAGCCTGAGATCGTATAAAAAGGCTTCAATTGCACGCATCGTAAATTACGTGCCAAGTATATGCACGCCTGACATCGCCCCAGTTACGTCTTAATTATATAATAACGTAATAAATCCCTGAACGCGCCGTAGGTAAACAACGCAAAATAGCTCGGGATAGAGAAGACGATTAATGTAGATATTATTAATATCGTGATGCACGCTCTCTGTTCACAATAATTAACTTTCAATTGCGACAGCTTAATCAATTGAATGTCGGCTGTATCGCTCGAAATATTCTTGAATATTTGAACAAGAGAAGCTTACATAATTTGTAATCATATATTAACGAGTCAATAAAAGCGTGACACGGCAAACTGTTGACATGCAGAATTAATCTATAAGCGACACACGGCGCTGCAAACTGCGTCGCCACTCTCATCGATCACGGGCTGCTTATACAGGTGTAGCTACACAAGCTCGTACGGGCGCAGCGTATTATTGCCAATTTATCAAGTGCTACTCCTCCTTCGTATTGAACTAGACAGTAAACAGATTTAATCTTAGCCGGGAACGACGAATACACGTATAGTTGTTGACCGGATGAAACAGATTGAATTTCAATTTCGATTGAGAACTTCCTCTCTCCCAATTTATTCTTCACTTTTGCGCACGCCCGTCGCTGCTGGAAACGTTTCCAATCCTGAATTTGGCAAAATCACACAGGAGATAATAATTTTGAAACAACAATAAAGTATACATTTATATAGAAAATCCGACACGTGATGCACGAACGTAATAAAAAGTTTGGAAATTCCATTCGAAATAATAATTAAAGAGAGCACGAGTTAAAGTTACATTACAATTATCCTTGAAAATCGGTTTAGTTTCACATCGAGGAAAATTGATCTCTTATCGATCACGTTACCAATTATCAAACATCTTCAACATACTCGCGTCGTTTTCTCGACGCTACCCAGCCGCAATCACAAATCAGTCATCGGTTTTAATAAACCCCGCCTCTGGAGATGTCGGCACGCGATCGCTCGTGTAACAGGCGATATTTCAGCACGGTCGGATTACAGGTAGCGGAATCGCGCCGGGAGTAGTAGACCGTGGACGAAGAGTACACCGATCGTCGGGGACCGTCCGCTCGGGCTTGAGAGATCGAATCTCAATTTGGCAGAAATGAAATTCCTTGCAGCCGCCTCGCGCGGCGTCCAACTCGGCAAAGTACGACCGCGTGGCCGCCCGCTGTGAATTTCGCGAGATATCGGATATCTTATGCATTTCCAATAACGCATCGCGCTCTCTCCATCACTGTGCATTGCCGCGCATTTTTCGCGCGGCCAATAATATGCCTTTTCCCTTTCTCTCTCTCGTTCACCCGCCTTCGGTAACCCGAGAATCGCGTCTTATTAAAAATTCGAAGCGCGAGTCGTCTAGTTTGCCTCCGTAAAGAGAATTGCACAGCTGAAATGCGCTAATATCGCGACACTACGCTGTATAGGAAGAAATAAAAGTTGCCTCTGACCTCACGATATTTGTATCTTAATTTATCAAGTCTGTTTTATTGTATTACGGGAATACAAGATACAGGCATAAAAAATAACTTGAATATGCTATAAATATGTTTAAAAAATGCTATATCGCACTTGGATTAATAATAATTTACTTAGTATCATCTATTTGCATTTCTCAAGCTTCATTCCATCACAGCTTTTCGCTAATAATTCCTTACAGAAGCTACGGAAAGAATATTGCTTGTCGCTCTTTGATATATCATTGCTTTTTGCTCTTTAGCGTCTCGATTGAAATGGGAGATGGTGAACTTGCGTCATTCAGTAAGTGACCTACTTGACACACTTGAAATTTTCAGAACACTTTCCCAATCGGATATTATGCGCAGGAGCACAGGTTTTGTTCGTTGATTATATTTACACGTGTCTGAATAAACGGGATAGACCGTCCTATTTCTTCCTGTAAGGAGTTGGATAATCCGTGAGAAGGCTGCCGGTGGAGACAATGGCCCCGGGTCCGCCTAGAATGCCGCCCTTGTTGGCGAACCAACCATTACCGCCCAGGAAACCGGCCGGTTCCAGCCGGTTCGTATAGAAACCGGAATCGTGCGGACCCAAGAAATGCACTAGGCTGGCAGGTACATTTGCTAGCTGCTTCGCCGTCGTGTTTTGTAGCGCGTTGATGCCAAGATTGTTTAGCGCCTCTCTCAGAAATAGCAGACGATCCTGCAGGAACGATTGCGGTGAAAACTGCACTTTTTGCACCAGCGGTGTCAGAATCCAAGAGAACGGACCCGGTTTTGTCGTGGAATTCTCCTTGAACTTGCCGAAACAATTGATTTCACGTCAGCGTTTTTCGAGCACATTTTTACGACGTGGTTTTATGGCGCGGGAGGAAAAGTTATATGCGGAAGTTATATAGGATCTTTTTTATTTCAAAATTAATTAGTTTGAGAACGCGATTACTTGCAATATTGTAAGATTTATGTAGGGAATACAATATATGTATATGCGATAATATAAGAAGAGTTTTTTCAGCATGAAGAAAACCGATACATATAAGATTCGTTATTAATTTAATCCAAATTTAATTTATCGTATTCCAACCAGGCATGTTAATGCTATAGACTGTGACGTTGCCGTCCCGCGAGCGCGTCCACCGGGTTCCTCCCTCAAGGCAACAGGCCAAGCGTAGGGAAAACCGTGCCGCAGTCTCCAGAGAGGCGACCGTTATTCGGTAAATTCGACGTATGGCTGATTCTTTTGTTTTTTTTTTGGTATGATGAACACGAGCGTGAGGACGGATGGATGCGAGGGCGGAGGAGAGAGAGACGAGAGGCCCGGCTAACGGAAAAATTCCGCGGCGAGCACGGTGGAGGGGCGTGCGGAGCGGGAACGGAGCGAGCGGAGCAGCGAGCCGGGAGGAAGGAGCCCAGGGCCCGTGACACGATACCTGAGGGGCGTCAGCGGGGGAGCCGCTGCGACAGCCCTATCGAAGGAACGCGAGGAAATTTTGGCGATATCGCGGGTACCTGCGCCCGAGCGTGAAAATCTCGCTGCCGGCGTTGTCGCGTGCCGTCGCGCGATTGGCCGCGGAGCACGCGCCTAGCGCGGGCCGCCGCGCGGGCGAAAGGGGGGGCCCCGGGCTATCGATCCGCGATCGCGGAAAATTCGGAGCAGCCTGTTGCCGAACTTGTAAGAGGAAGGACCCCGGTTTACCGCTGCCGCCGTTTTCCCGCCACGAAGGGCGAGTTCCCGTGAGAGCCCAGGACGAGCCGTTGCCGCCTGCCGATCCCGGGAGAGCCGAGGGTGCCGGTGAGATCCTCCTCCGTCTGTTTCGCCCCGTGCGATAGCGTCCGGAGCCGGGTTGCTCTGTCGCCGCCGGGACGATTTCGCGTTTGGTGTCGCCCGGGCCACGGCCCGTTGGCTTTAGAGTTTGGTTGGAGTCCCGGTCGCGGCGACAAGCAACCGCGGTTCCCCGGAGCCCACAGGGCACAGGTCTCGCGTGTGAGTGATTGCGTGTGTGTGTGTGCGTCGAGCCTCGCGACCGCGGGCAATTGCGTTTTCTTAGCCGATCTGGAGATTCGCGGCGCGAGGGGTGCGTTGCGCGAGATCACGCGGGGTACGCATGCCGCGGGAGTGTCGCGTGCATGCGTGGCGTGAAGGAGTCGCGACGACCGAGAGAGTGTGAACGAGTGGGTGCGTGTTTGCGATACCCCGGGCCGCTTCCGGAAGCTTGCGTGATTCGCGTCATAGTGATTCGGGAGTATTTGCGTGTGCGACGGTACTCGTACCGTTCGCGAGGAAATCATTGTCGAGTGCGTCCGTGTCGTCCGAGTAGGGTTTATCGCGTACGGCTAAGTCCTGCCGTTGATTTCGCGCCGGATTGTTCCGTGTAGCCGAGAGTATCGCGGCGTGTTGTTTTCCCCCGATCTCGGGGCTTGAATCATTGTCGCCCGCGACGCCGCCCGTTATAGCGGCCACTCAACCGGCGTGTTAGCGCCGCCCGATATTAAACCCGTTTTATTTATATTAATTTGTCGAGTTTCTTTTCGTGTACGTCCCTTTTCGTGTGTCTCGTCCGTCGTGAGAATTCCATAAGTCCCGTTGCCTCTGGAATCTTGGCGGCAACCACCGCCCCGCCCCTCTACCGTTAGGCGAGCTAGCCTGCCCGTGACGAGGGCCGCTCCAGCTCATTCGTACGATTTCGCGAGTTTCGCGACGTGACGCGTGAAAGACCGCGTCTGGCGCCCAACCTTCGTTTTCGCGTGGAGCCTTCGGTCCGCGGCACGGTACGCGCGGAGCTCCCGAGATCCTGCTCCTTTCCAGCGCGCTAACCTATCCCCTTGGTTTTTGCCGACGACCCGATCCGTCCGCATCCCGCGCTTCTCGCGCCCGGCGACCGTACTCCCCGTCGTCGGCGCGCTTCGCCGTAAGATCCGCGCGCGACCGCGAGAGCGGGACGGCAACACCCGTCCGTCCGCGTATAACGGGAGGGCGGAGAAAATTGAAAGAAAGGAAAACCTCGTCGCAAGACACATATTAATAATATAATCACGTAATCTTAATCATTGCGTGCATTAATTGATAATTGAATGCGGTGGATTGATTTTAATTAATTAGTTAAGGGGCCAATGTCGTAACGAGCAATTTCTGCGGAGGAAATTAATGAGCGGAGCCACCCAATTACTGAAATAAAGACAAAAAGTAACGTGGCCAACAATACGGATTAAAGTTATAATTAATTAGCGGGATGGAACGTCACTGTCTCACGGAAAGATTGCAATCTAAATGCCAACTTTAATTATCAATATCAATTTACAAAGAGATGCTTACGGTTGCGTCGATCACGGTACCAGCTGCCGAGTTTGTAGTATCAGTCTGCGTGGCCGCCTTTATTGATGCCTCGTTAGTCGGCAAAGCAGAATTCCGCTGCTGTTTCTTCGATCCGATTGGACTTTTGTACAGATTCGCGTTATCGTGATCGACCTCATTGATAGATTCATCGGTTGATGGATTGAGCGGTTTCGCCTGCGCTATTGCAGCCTTAAAATTTTTCATTTACTTGTACTATTGCGCGGTAGTACATGATCGAAAAGTTAACTGATTTATAATTAATATAATATCTGCAGGTATTCGACAATGTTATTAATTTCAAACAAAGCAGCTTCTTGATAAAATCGATATACAGATGAATTTGAAATGATATTAGGGAGAATAAAAATATCAAGAAAATGGTCTTTAGCATACAAGTATTTGAAATCGTACGAACTTTCATATTTATTCGTAAAATAGGGAGTGAGCATGAATTTGAAAAGGCAGATGAATTTAATTAACGTAACGTCATAAATTAGGAATTTCGTTTTAATTAACAAACAAATTATTAATCATAACAAACAAAAAAGATTAAATAGAGGTCCGTTTGATATGCTGCCAAGGCAAATTGTTAAGATTTACGGGTTAATGTCTTACCGCCGCAAGTAATAGGCACATAAATCTCGTCGCTTTTGCCATCATTAGAATAGTGTGGTAAGGAAGCTCCTGGCAGCGTTCTACGTAACTTATTCCAGCGATATGGAGTATACCGGTTAGAACTCGCGAGCAACACATCGTATGTATACTTAACGCCGTTTATATATGCAGTCTCACGCGTAATAAGCAGAATGTAATCGCATAAGGGCACCCACATGCGCATGTATAGCGGCAGACATAAAGTCGCAACCATGATTTGATGTATTTCGTTGAGAAACAAATCGCGAAGAGAAATGCTCCCGTTACCACGCGGTACGCAGTCCTAGTTTCGATGCAAAATAAACATTTGGTGTACGCGGTCATTTCTCGACTATTAAACTTGAATATCCTATTATAATATCGCAGCGCGATATTTTCAATTGTCTCGATATTTTCTTTAATATCGTTAGCTCACTTGAATCGGCGAGTTCGGAAACTACATAAGCCCGTTTTTCCAATTTTACGAAAGAGCAATAGAACTGAAAAGAATCTCGAAAATCTTGGATTATGTGGTTTTTGTAATTACCGATTTAATTTTTCCTTTGATAATAATGCGTGAAGAAAATGTCATCCGTTGCACGTGTCCCGAGAGAAGTCTTTTTTACGTTCTTTTTTAAATAGAATGTATAAATATTGAACATTGGTTTTGCACTTGGCAATGAACGTTCGTATCAACCTTGCATTAACATGTTGAACTGATTGAAGATGCAACAGCAGTGAAGTGGTGACTTGAATAATAGTCATGTCTTATCTTACGATATGCACAAATGTATTTTAATGATAAGACAGACAATGATGAATGGCAAAAACTGAAGAAAATTCTTTGTAGTTTTTCATAAACTGCATGTGTGAGTAACATAAAAATTAATTTTTACTTAACAATTTAGTAAAGTAATGAATGTTATTATACTAAATATATTCGCCAATTCTAGTTGTTTCCTTAGTTTATCAGCATGTTACGATATAAATTTTTACTTAAAAATATTTTATTTCTATTACATTAAAATAAACTTTTATCCTCAATACCTTAATACCGTGGATTAAATATTTTTAATCCGCGGAACAAAAGGTGTGAGAATTTGCTACTTGCGAATAAATTTCGTGATAACGAACAGTCTTCTATAAGACAACAGCATTTTCGAAGTCGCGAAGAGAATATACGTGAGTCGTTCGAAAAACCGGTCGGATCATTTTTCTCGATTGTTCTGGGACGAAGTGCCGTGACCGACTCTCCTTGAAAGAGTTGTTTTCGGCCGAGAAATTTTATTCTTATTGGACCGTTCTTCTCGTGAACTCGTTGTGAAGGTCGAAACTACATTGATTCGTGGTTGATTTAAAGTATAGGTGACGTATATCCAAAATATAAAAAGATTACTTGAGAGAACGCACAAAAGTTTTCATATATAAAAAACATTTGAAAATTATAGAAAAATGATAAAGGAGCCATAGAAAGAGGATTACTGTAAATTTTCTGATTACAAAGTTTGGTATGACAGTTTTGCCTGAAAGTCTTGCAATTTTTACATCGACTTTACTGCGTTTAAATCAGTTTTTATCGAAGTCACACATTTGCCAAAAAAAGGTCGACTTTATGCCGTAAAGAAAAAATTAAAACGACAGAACGCAACATAAAAGCGCGATGCTGTCGCTGGGGAGGGTAAAATGATTGAGTTATTAAACTCTAACAATAAGTTGATTAAAATGGAAAATGAAAGAAGCGAATACGGCTATGGGAATAACTGAATTATAAATCGGCGATATAATACATGCGCAGAGTGCGAATACATATTTTTACTAAGTAAATGTATTTGCTAGAAATTGTGTGAAACATTGATTATCTTTAATTTTTTATTTTTGCTATTTTCCTAAACATCGGCTATGCACAAGTTGTAATTATTTCCCAAAGCGGCAAGTTTAGTTTAGAAATTTTCAAGTTATCTTAGGCAATTAAATAATTACAAATTATAGTAATAAATGTTCAATTTGCACTTAAAATTGAGTGCAGGAGCCATTTTTTAAAATCTTATTACCTAGGCAAAACTTGTAAAATTTTTGTACAAATCTGAGAGCTGTAAATATTAACATTAACGTCGTGGTAATAATATTCTCGCCTAATTTGTGTTCAATGCGAAGTAATTTCATTTAAATTGCAAATATTAAATTAATTGTAATTTTAAACACTATTGGTATTTTTACAATTTTAATCAGGATAATGTTACTTTGGATGAATTATTCCAACAATCCGTGTATGAAAGTCCGATATATGCAAAGTTCCAGGTATAAACCGTATATTTCAATCACAGAGAGATCGAGGACGAGTGCATAGCGGAAAGTACGTCAGCTCCTCGTCTCGAAACGTGGATGGCATACGGATGATGGCTTAGTTTAGGCATCACGCTGTGATTTACCCATCGGCACCAATAAACACCGGCTCGCGGCGGCATGTGCGCCTAGCCGGCTTGTCACGCATTTAACAATCCTGTACAGGGACCCGCTCGTTTACATACGATCGCGTAAGAATGTGGAGGTGCGCGACGTCGAGGACGACCTGGGACCGTTATGAATCTTTTCGAGACCAGTCTTGTTCCAACAGCCGCCCGCGAGCCTCGATAGAATCCGCGAAAATCGTGAATTTCTCAGTGATTGTTTAAAACCTTCGGAAGTAGATTTTCTCACGGGATAATATAAAAATGTTTCAGGTCTGAATCGTTTAATCTTTTTTTTAATTATCTCAAAATTGTCCACGAATATTGTTATCTTTATTTCGCTTTAAAGTTTTTCATCTGACACATCTCACATTAATTTGCAGGTTTTACAGTTAAAAAAGTTTTTTTAATGATTCTTGTTACTGAATTGTGCTAGAAAGTATATCAGTTTCGTGAATTTTTACAAAGTGCATATTTGAAGACGTGAAAATATTATTTTAAACTGATAAAAGGAATATCTCATCATGAAGGTATTACGTAGTTTTATGGTGCTAATGATTCTTCGAGAGGTAAGTGATATTTTTTACTGAATGGTACTTTGAATATTTAGTATTGCATTAGTGAAATATTGCGTTATTTGCTGTCGATGCTGCATACCAAATGATTGAAAATTACTATTTTCACATCTCAATAAATCGAAAACGTAAAAGCGTTATTAGGACTGAAATTCAATGCATAGTTTGAGCACAAATCAAGACGTCATATGAATAGTGTAAATTTTTTTCCTTAATTCAATTAGTGATATTAATTTTGTACCAATCTGAGAGCTGTAAATATTAACATTAACGTCGTGGCAATAATATTCTCGCCTAATTTGTGTTCAATGCGAAGTATTTTCATTTAAATGCCCGTTTATATACAGCTATAATCGCGGCTAACGGCTCAGAGAACTATGTGTATTCGCGTGCTTTAGCGGAAATGTTAATTAAAATTCCTCATTGCTTCAGGCTATCGCCGGAATCGTTAGGAAACCGCCAGCCTTTTCAACGCCAGTATATTCAAATTCGTATCTCCCCGCTGCCATGCAGGTAAGTCATTTTCGATTACTAAATTTTATAAGAGATTCTGAACATTAATTCTCTTGCGCGTAATTGTGATGTTTCTTATCTCGCGTGTAGTAATTCGGAAATATTTTACGCATCCGTATTTCTTCATTAACTTGTTACCATACTTGATTTTCGCCTTGCATTTAATAGTTCTTACAAGTAGCAATAATATTTTAATAATTTTATAGTTTTCTCATCGATTAATTTTATATTATTCTTATAGTATAAACATTAAGGAGTCGAGTAATTTTTATATAATTCTACTACAAATTTCTCAGTCTCTAATATAGTGTATAACCGAATACAATGTATATTAAAGTGGTATATAAGTATTACACATGGATCTCTATTTACTTTAGTAAAACGTTATATCGAGTTTTTGAAAAATATGTAATATCGGTAAAGTCCATTTATACGATCTATTTCTGAACCAGGTAATTTTTCACACGGTCGAGCAACTGAAGGCGCTCCAAGCGGAAGAAATATTGCAGCTAGACGTACAAGTAGTAACTTCCTCGTCGATATCGACGACCCAGGCGATGAAAGATTGGCAACCGCAATCGACGATACCTCAGGGAATTTCAATAAATTCAACTGCTACGACCGCGAAAGTGAATGATGAGAAGACAGAGACTCCCTTGACGCCAAGTTGGACTCAGGCGAGTAAGATATCGAGTCAAGGGTCTACCAAGACTTACGACGATTCGACAGAAGTGGATCAACGCTTAACAACTGTCAGCGTATCCAATAGTTACCATAAAGAGACACCTGAAGTGAACGAAGAGACGACTGAAACGAATTACGAATTACCGGCCACCCCGGAAACGAATCACGAATCACCGGAGCTCGTACAGGAGACCCAAGAATCGAATCAGGAAGTCTCGGAGGAGAACGAAGAAAAATCTTCAAGTACCGAACGCTCCTTCAGCGAAGTAGCCAAAATACAAACCCCGCAACAGGACGATGCATCGCATCAACAATCGACACAGGCTTCTGTTACGCAGGTATCAAATTATCAGAAAAAGACGACACCAACCGTCGACAGCGTCGTGAGTGAAATTTACGGAATCGTGAAGACAACGACATCCTTGTTCAAAGAGGAATATGATAACGACGAGGAAATCGTGGAAGTATCGATTGAAAGGTCGGAGAAAATTGAGGACGAAAAAGAAGAAACAAGGTGATAACGTTTTTATTATAAAGTTATAATTATTATCATTACATATACTAGGAAGAATCGTGTTTGCTAGGAAGAAGATTTAACGGTAGGATTTTGCAGAAGTTAATATATGTTTTGTACTAAACTAAATGACATATCGTTTGTATCTAAAAGTAACTAATTTTTTTTTAGATAAATATAAGTAGAATGTATTGTACAATTCAACATAAAAAGAACAATTAAATGTAATTACAATAGCTCCAAAAGAATTGAAAAAACACGAGAGTGCATAAATGCCGACTTGGTTTCAAAAGGCACTAATAAAAAGTTCATTTAATAAGGCTCTTCTTTGCTTTTGTCGCAACAGATTCTGTTTACTTGGCGAGAGAGTGGCTCAAGTGCCGCGTCCAAGTTTGAACCAGTACTTAAGGCGTTCCAAAGTACCGCCTAGGCCGTCTCTTCAACAACTAGCAAACCTTTATGACGCTCTCAGCAAAGACGCGCGTAAGCAAGGATTCGCGCGTTTTGCTGGTTACACGAACGAAGTCTTGAAGATTTTGCACTCATCCGCCGAGGGTGGCGTTGGACCGCAGCTGAAGCAGCTGCTAGAGAAGGTGGTGGAGCGGAACGAGCTCACCAGAGACGACGCGAAGACGAGGACGTCGCAGGCGCTGCGTGATCTTAACGATCCTGCCAGTGCGCTTAACAAAGATCTGAGGCTTCTGTTGCCGTTACGTTACACGCTTTGATTTTTTAAAATAATTGCAACGTTTTTGGAAGGTTTAGAAACAATGATACAAACATTGCGATAGAAAATATTTATTTTCTATTATAAAATATGAAAAGGTAATTATGGATTATAGAAAGAATTTTTTTTAATATTTTTATTTATAATAATTAACGTAAATATAAAAGCTGAGGAAACGCGTATTCAAAATATGAAAGTAATTCTGTTAATAATGTCGTTGGATATTTTTCTTAACATAATCTTATCTAAAGAAAAAGAGAAGATAAAGTCGCCATTGTTTCACTCTGTCTTTCTATTTGATGATTTTAACAGTGATGATAATGTTGACTCTTCTTTGTACCACTTGGAAATTATTTTCACTGCTATATCAATAGTATCACCTGAAACAAAAACGAGGACAATTTATTAGACTTCTCGAAAAGTTAATAAAAAATAAATTTAAAAATTTATTTGCTACTTTAATTCTTTCTAAATGTAGGTAAGCTGATGTATCTTATACTATTTAACAATTTATACTGTGTTCTTGGATATTTTATGTTGTAAGAAAAGATTGTACTTTAATAATCTTATAAAACAAATGGGACATGATACTCTGATTTCAATTATCGACCACAAAAATTGATGCAAAACGGTGCGAAAATTTAGACGCTTTAGAAATTTAGAGCTTAAAACGACTGGAGAAATAGCGTAAAAACGAAGACCTCTGCTAATCAAATGAGACTAATTGATATAACATTTGCGGACAATCATTAAAAAGGAATAAATATACCTTTCGCCTCTACCGGATAAAGCTTCCTGGAGAAAGTGAAAGGTTGTGCTATTTCACGAAATATTCGATTGTTAATCTCGGTGGCGTTGAATTTGGTTCCTTCGATCAGTGATTTCTCGAGAGCCTTTAAGAAAAGCTCCCATCTGGGCTTAAAGTAATCCGCCATCACCCCCGACCATTGTTTGTTAGCATAGTCTGTGATCTCGCCATTTGGGCCCCACAAGGTGATTTGATTTCTTGCATTATATTCGTAAGATCGTCTCTCCTCATCGTCGACACCCATATCTTTTGCCTGAGTTAGCCAGGTGCCCAGCAAAAAATTACTTCCTGATGCCAGAATAGATTCGAGGTCGTCGAACAATTCCAACAGAGCGTTTGCGGACGATCTATCGAGTTGTTGGTATAAAACATTTAAATATATATTAGAAATTCTTGTCATGTAACAATACTAACTACATGAAACGCCTGGCTATTGACGCATTGAAGGACATTTATTTTGTGATATTATTATAATTATTTTAATCATTTTCTATCTACTTAAAGAATATTACGTCTATATATGTACAATTCTGATATACATTGATATTGTATCAAAATACTCACTGAAAAGCAGTAACGTTCTTATTTTTATAGCAGTTTACTATGGTCATGTAGATATCGTCAGCCATTAGTTGAAGACCTTGTCTGGTTATATCAACCACATCATGCCTGTAGAGAGTACTATTTCCTCTACCATGTCTCGCTTTCAAAAATACGTTCCACATAGAATAGAAACTTTTTCGATCATACCAGATCTGCGTTAAAGAAACTTATTTTACATTATACATAATTTAATTTAATATTAATATGCAACTAAAAATGTAATTAGTCGAAATAATTTTTCTCTTTTCCAATTTTTAACAATTTCCAGTTTCGATGTAATTTTGTCTTTCTCGTTAATATGAAAGCGAGCTTTTATACTCATGTTCTGTCGCGTCATTGGAAACGCAACTATATAATTCAATTAATCGTAAATAAGTTATGATTTTTAACGTAAGTCTGTACCCATGGTGAAATATTTAAACTCGGCTGTCTGGTAATAACGTAATGTCCTCTGATTTTTTGCGTGCCGATAAAATTATAAACTGTTCTGCCGAGGTGTCGCCAAGCAGCCACCGCATACTCGTTCCACGCGCCGTATCTTCGAATAGCGTAACGTTCGAACCTGCCGATCAATGATCGTCGTATCAATTTAATCAAGCGAGTTTAAGGAGCTTTTTGCGTAACCTCACTTAAATCGCGAATTAGAAGCCCACTCTGTCGATAGATTATCGAGGCGTGGTAAGACATTAAAACGACACGTCTTCAACGAAGACCAATCGTTATATCTATTGCATCTGAATCACACGAGATACACGTTCTCACCAATTGTCCAGGTCGACGGGCTCGTGATGATATGCCATTTCATTCATCAGTTCGTAAATTACGTAGTTTTGATTAATACCTTCAGGTGTCAAACCGGTTCCCACCATAGTACTACCATTCATGTTTCTACCCTCGAATGTGCGCTGAAGAAAGAGTTGATTGAACATTCTGCAATCTATGTTACATTCAGTTCCAGTAAACACCGAGCATCAGTTACATCGTTGAGTGAGAAATTATAACGTAAGTGCAATGTAACTGATGCTCGGTGTTTACTGGGAATTTATTGTACTCATAACTGTGTCGTAGGGTATTCTTTTTGCTTCAAAATTCGTATTGTTATAATATTAAAATATTCTTTAATTGATTCTTGATTCTGAATTTTTGGACATTAAATAAAGACATGCGATATTTAACAAATTATATATTTCCTGTGAAGGATTGAAAACTTGTTCGTCGCAATGTTTGACAGAGGATTAATTTTTTAATCAAGAGCATTATGAAAGTGTGAGCTATAAGGTTAAAATCAAGATACGCTTGAGGGACGGAAAAAGAATTGAGGATTAAAGTTTTGAAATAATTCTTTTACGTCTTGGTATGCGATGCAAATGACATGGCGAAAGCAATCATAAAAGCAATCATATTCTTGATCTTACAAGAAAATCTGACATAAGAAAGCATAAATTTCTATTATACCTGATTAACGATTTGCGCGGAGCCAAACATTCCTAAGGTGCCGCCGAAGTTGTGCAGCATGCACCAAATAAATGGCTGACCGTAATACGATTTCAATCGACCGTACTGCGGAAACTGTTCTGATTGCAGGTCTAGCACCAACATTCGTCCCTGCAGTTGATTATAGTATAGCAATTAAAAGTCCCGTTTACGACCGTAAAATAGTATAATGTGCCGATATACAGAAACTATATTTTTTTGGCGACAAGAGAGAAAATGGATAAAAGTTTATTGGAATGATTCTTCTTATTTTATCAATGTTTCAATACCATGTTTTCTCTAGCCTACGTACTAAATTTGTTGTAGCAAAATGCGTACATTGAATTTTACATTATTTATGTAAATGGTGAATTTACAAGATATAAAAGGTATTTTACTGTATTTCACAAGAATTTTGTATTAAATTACGCATTTATTTATTCATGTATACGTTACAGGCTTGTATTTGCCAGTGAGGTCGATATTCGTTAATATTCCGGACTTACCGTAGGTACTGAGGTCAGAAAGGCTCTTACTCTGGACTTCTTCCAAAACGTAATGTCGTGTACGAACAACCAAGCTTGCATTAACCTAGAAAAATCGTAGATTTCGTGTAGAGTATTTCATGTAAAGAAACATTATTGTCATATATTGTATTATAAATTAATCAAATATTATACGTGGTCTGTCCAGGAAGTATCGGGACTGATTTTTTTCTAGCCAAGGGGAAGGGGTTGGGGGTTGTCTGTATGAGCAGGAAAATTAGTGGGGAATGTCAGGTATACGGGATGACGCGGCTCAATTGCCTCTGAGTCTTTGCAGAGTGTAGATCACGCCCCGGGGTGAGCAGTTGTTTTGTGGTATCGTCAGGAATCAAGATGCAGCGCACGATTGAACAGCGGTATGCGATCAAGTTTTGGGTGAAATTGAAACACTAAGACGCCGATCAGCGTCCAAAAGGCAAGAGTCTCAGCACCGGAGTTTTGCTGAAAAATATGTTTTTCGGAAAAACCTGAAAAACGTAAAAAATTTGAAACATCTGAATTTCTGAAAAAAAAAACTGAAAAAATTCGGTGAATCATGAGCACTGCAAAGGCTCAGAGGCAATTGAGTCGGGTCGCGTCGTATACTTGACATTCCCCGCTGATTTGCCTGCCCATACAGACCACCCCTCACCCCTTCCCCTTGATTAGAAAAAATCAGTCCCAATAGTTTCTGGACCGACCATGTATATTATATTTGATTAATTTCTAAAAAGAATTAAAAAAGCCACCTGTTTACCAATATATTTACTTACCATATCGCCTTAGAATCGACTGCATTCATAGCTGAGAAAATCGAACGGCCGACGTTTCGCAAGTAGACAAGTTCAGTGTCACTAGGTTTGTTTTCATTGAAAGTATCGCAATTATAAATATGATCGGTACCAAACTCGTCGATGTACTGCAACAATGAAATTTCATGTCTCCATCTCCATCATTTATCTCTATGGAAATTATTTCAGCTCACCATTCGAAGGAATTTTTCTCCAATCACGCGAAACAGCGGATCCGTCGGTTCTAGCAAATAAGGACTGAAAATAACAATTGTGTTAGATGAATCGTAAGTTCATTACATGATTGCACTTTATTATAGTTAAATGCAAGGTTCTATTTGGGGCATATTGTTACTTGATAGATAGAGAACATTCAATTGTTAACATTTCATCCATAGTTGGATTTTACGGCATGAGAAATTATTTGAAACAAGATTATAACTGAAAGAGAGAAAATTGCGTGAGATATAGTTAGACTGTTTGACCATACCAGCAATATTTGTCTTGGAATTTATTCCACGTATCGATCTTCGTCATATTAGCATTCGGAAAAAGTCTGGCAAAAGCACGCGGCACGTGACCGGCGAATGCCGGTAATACTGGGACGATTCCGAGGTCTCTCATTCTTCGAAGAATCTGGTGCTGCAGGCGTATGGTGTGATTGTGCCAATTTGATGTTAATGGTCCACCAAAACCACGCATATTGCCCATCCTCATCCTACGTTACCGCAACAAGCCTATTTTATTGTACTTTCCATAAAGAAATTTGAGGAATATAAACACTTGACCAGGGTAAGAAGGCAGGTCCACTGAAGTGCTCGTCGATCTCCTCTTTCGTCAGATTCAATTCTTGATAGAGTCTTTGCCAGATCGCTTCTTGCGCAGTGAAAGCGAGGGCAAGATTAATCCCATTCAGGGCCATCCAATCGATATTTTTTTCCCATTGTTGCCACTGCCACCAGGCTGAACTGTAACCCGCGGTGCACACGTTCTGATAATACCTGAATCTGTAAATAAAGTTGTGGAAGAACGTAAGTGCATATGCCGTGTCATAAGTGATACACCAGATTATCACAAATGAAATATTACGCGTTCTCACCTATCATTCGATGTAATTTTAACGCGAGCTTCCGGCAGGGTAGTTGGCAGCGTAATTTGTGTACCGTCCCATGATATATGAACATTGCAATAGTTTTTCAAGTAATAATGCAAACCCCAGGTGATCGCCACTCCGGAAGTGCCGCGAATTTCGATCTTGCCTAGAGAATTTTTTGTTATCTGTCAAAATAAGATTGCTCGACAATTTATTATTCCTTTAGAAATGAGTATTCGCAAAGAGAAATGTGTCGCACTTGACAATGAGCACCTTGAAAGTATCTTTGTCAACAGGTCCCAAATCGGTATTCAGCCTCATAATAAACATTTTAGATATCTCTTTACCCAGCAGTCTTTCCGCGACATCTTCAGCTGCTTTCGCCTGAATTTCTGGCAAAGTATGTGACTTTGTATGCCCCAAAGTATCCTGAAACACTACTCACGCTTTCAGATGTAAGAATGTATTTTGGCTTTATTTGGTGGCATAAATGTTAAACATTTTGCATTCTAACACAGAACACGCACTGAAATGAAAACGTAATCCATTCTACTTACCGTCCGATTTACGGCATTGACTGGGCAATACGAGTAATCCAAATGTTATTATAAATAATCGTGACCACGATGTTGTGACATCCATCTTGATGAACCTCAGCATATCGACTGGCGTATAAACGTGGGAACACAGAGCGCGATCGTGCGTTGCCGTATATTATCTTCCCTACTCTTACCGTGACTTTCTTATCAGATGAGAGAGGCTCTGACTATATATAAGTATAACAACCGTCCCTCATGACTCATGATGATACAATTACATTTATGATACCGTGCTCACACACTGAAACATAAATCTGGTAGATTCAACCAGTCGTCTGTTAGAAAATGGACGAATTAGAATTCCTTTAGGATTTATCAGATGTGTAGTGAAGTCTAGCAAACTTCTGGTTATGAAATATCGAGCTCTATCGTGTTAACTAGAAATTCTGTTTGGTTTAGCCAAAATACGTACATTCTATCATACATGTCTTGTTGATACAATCAAAGCTCATTGCAATGACCTCGTTCACAATTTACGAATTGAATTATTTATAAAATATACAATTTGTGTAATTAAGGGGTTACATAGGTCTTGAAGGCCAAAAAAAAGCTTATTTTCTCTAATTTTTTTAAAAGATACTAAATGAAGTAGACGATTTATTTTTTGTATATAAAAGTACGATATGTGTACAACGTTTGGTAAAAATTTCAATGAAAAATATTAAAAATTAAGGCGTTGGCAATGTCTTGAAGTAGACTGTCCATAAAAAAAATGCCCTCGCGGTAGTCAGCATAACTTTGTCAATTTTCATCTGAAATCAAAAATCCAAAGTTTTTCTTAAAGTAGGTTAGTATTTCTTGTCCCTGAACGAAGGATTTATTTTATCTTCGATTACAACTCATTTTACAAGCCAATACATAGTCTAATTTTATGCAAAAAATGACACTTTTTGTAGAAAATGCTACAAAAAATTCAATTTTCAATTTTTTTCTTTTTCCTTCGTTCTAGCGTCATGGACACAAGCCTTAATTCGCCTGAATAGATACAGAGTTTCTAAATTTCTAAACAGTTGCTATTCTTTTCATCAGTGTTTTATTATTAACTCCATTATTTTTTCCAATAAAATCTTTAGTTTGATTTTTTAAGAAATATAACATTTTTTAATCAAAAACTAATACTAAAGCAACTGGTTTGTATAAATATCCGTTGTTTTATTTGGCGCAATTTGTTGGTATCATTACTTTTGTAGAGAAGATAGTTTTGTATAGAGAAGATATTTTTGTAGAGAATATACTTTTGCAAAAATGATGGAGTAACAAAATATATTCGGTGGAATTGGAGCTTATACTTGGTGCTTTTTTTACCTTTTTTTAAAAAGGTAAGTTTTTTTATATAAATATATACAAAGTATTATTGCATATATTATGCAATATATTATATTGCTATGTTGCTGTAATATTTCTGAACATTGTAATATTTCTGAAGGCGGACATTTTACCGTTGCTGCACGATTGCAGCAGCGTTGCAGCAACATTTTGCAGCGTTTAGGCAATCTTGCGATGAATTATTGCTGCAATGTTGCTGAAACCTTGCTGTGCTGTATGAGTTAGCTCAGAGAGCCGAGATGCAACCAATTCCATCTTAGCTCAGAGAGCCGAGAAGCGACCACTTCGATCTTAGCTCAGAGAGCCGAGAAGCGACCACTTCGATCTTAGCTCAGAGAGCCGAGATGCGACCACTTCGATCTTAGCTCAAAGAGCCGAGATGCGACCAATTCCATCTTAGCTCAGAGAGCCGAGAAGCGACCACTTCGATCTTAGCTCAGCTAATTTAGTATGAAATTTTATAGTAATATAATCTGTTCTTATTTCAAGATTGTTGCCTTAAGAGATGTCTCCAAGATTGTATTAATTTTCCGCTGATCAGTGGAACATTATGTAAACGCAAAACTAATAACAATAATATAAGAATTTGTTGCTAATTGATTGCTCTCAACAAATAAATTAGAATTAATTCGGAGCATTCTATAAGTTTCTTTGAAAAAACGTTGTTCCGTTGACAAAAGAAGACAAGTTAGCGGAATATCATACATAAAGGAAAATGTAATGGTTTAAGAATTGGCTGCTAATTTATTGCTTTCCGAAAATATTAATTAGAATTAGTTACGAGCTTTGAACGAGGGGCAAGCAGATCGCGAGAAGCCGGAGGGCGACACTCCTAACGAGTCGGATCTGACGCAAAGACAGGGGAATTATTCGGGGGATCTTGCGCCCGCGCTCATTGGAGGCAGGGCCGACATACGGATGGTTAACACCCAGGCGATCTAGCGCCCCGAGTCGATTACCACCAGTACGGGCCAACTTTTGGCATCGAACGCGAGAAGTGAGAGATCACCAGGGTTGTTCAGAAATATCACACGAGCGCAACAGTGTATCGTTTTATCCTTGTTTAACATTACGGTGAGCAATAAGGATAAAATAATACTTTGAGGTACTCCAGTGATGTTTCTAAATGTAACCCAGGCGTCTCGTAGATAAGGACTAGGTATGTCCGTGTGCGAGGATCGCGACGGCCGCGGATCCTGCGCGAACTGGCCGGAATAACGCGCAGCGATAACGCGCAACCCCTCTGTGGAGGGGGTTCGGCCGTCGATCGCGCATCGAGCAGCACCTCGCTCGATCTTTCCTCTCGGCGGACTCTGGAAGGATGGTCGTGTCGCTTTCGTGCCAATCCTAAAGAAGGAAGATCTCCCGACACGCGGTCGCGGCCCGAGTGAGTCAAAGGAAAGGGCTGTTCGGAAAGAAAAGTCGTCAAACCGGTGAGTTTGATCCATATATTTCATTTCATTTATAATACGACGAGCAAGTTCATAGCAGAGTTGCGTTTCCGCTTCTACGCTTATACTTGGCACGAGACACTACCGTGTCTCGTGATAGATCGCGAACTTGATGATGTAATTTTTGGGGGTGTGTTGTGCGTGCGTCGTGCTATCGTGTTGCGTTCGATCTGTTGCGCTGCGCTGCAAAACGCCAAAGGGCACTTTGCGCGAGCGCGTGACAATATACATAAAGTGCTCGGCGTAAGATATTAATCCGCTCACTTATAGATAGCTTCGTTAAACTGAATTAAAATGTCCTAAATCATTTTGCAAACAATTACGTGTAAATTTTAAGTTTGAAATGATAAAGATGGTGGCGAGTGTGGCACAGAGAAATGTGCGCTGCTTAGTAAACCGAACGGATTGGAGGTTTTTCCTTCGGCAAGGTTAGTCAGCCTACCAAAGATTAAGTAAAATCATATGCTCAAAGTACCAGAACGATCTGGATAAAACAGGCATGAAGCCTAATACACGAGGTAGAAGAAATAATAAAGATCTGCGAATCAGCGTTTGTCCGCGTGATTTGGCGAATCGAGTCAACAGCAATTACCCTTGCCTTGAAACATTGGAAAGAATTTTATGTACAACACGGCTATACACGAATACATGGTATGTGTGATGTTGAAAGTCGTTGCTTTACATTCGTCCTTCGTGTGCTTCGCACGTGACAACAGTAACGCCGGGTCGGACTCTTCTCATCAAATCGTACGAACACATGCTCATTCGCAGATCTTTATTATTTAATAAATTCAAATTTTACGTAGTCGTTTGCAAAATTATATAGAGCTTTTAAGTTTAAATGGTATATTTCATCAGACTGCCAGTATTAACAGAAATAAAATTTCAAGTTTTAATCGACCTCAGCTGGCCACATTTATTAAATACGCTTTCACAACGTTTCGACTTTTGGTTTACACTGTAAAAAATTTTCATGTAAAATTACAACATATAATAAAATTAGCGAAAGTATTGTTACATTATTATTTCTCTATTTTTTCGTGCTGTTGTAAATTTACTTTTGCAATCTGCTTTATTATTTATTAGGAAATTAATTTTTCCTTGCGCGCTGCAAAATTACAAAAGCGTGACACCTATTATAGTAGGTCTCAAAATTACCTACTATAATAGGTGTAAATTTCCACGCTTTCAATATTTTTCTGTGCTGTTGTAAACTTACTTTTGCAACCTGCTTTATTACTAATTATGAAATTATTTTTACTTGCGCACTGCAAAATTACAAACGCGTGGAAATTTACACCTATTATAGTGGGTCTCAAAATTACCCACTGTAATAGTTGTAATTTTACACAAAATTTTTTCCAGTGTGTGACTATCTTAAGTTGACAGTGTACACATTCGAAACGCGTGCAACTTTTTAACTACTAGTGCATCATGACTCGAGAAATGTGACTCGAGACAATATACTGGAATCCAATTCTTGAACTTGTACGAAAAATTTTCGCTAACAAAAGTGATATCGCGTTTATTAATTGGTATATAATTTGAGATCTAAAAGGTATATACCAATCAGTGAATATAGCGTCACTTTTCGTATGCGAAAAATTTTCGTCCAACTTAAAGAATTGGGTCCCTGACGAAAGAATTGATACGTCGTTTCAATATTTCAGTTATGAATGCCACGTGCATTAAACTGTTATACGCGTTTTAAATGTGCCCTCATTCGCGGCCAACTTCATGTTAAGCATTTCTGTCCTTTGCATGCATGTGTATGTACATATGATTCTCGACACGCCGCATGCGATTGAAGAAATAAAAATTTATCTTGTTTTAAAATAACTGAATCATTTTTTTATTAACTGTATATTGTATACAAGCATAAGATGAAAAATACATATTTCATTATGTAATACAATAAAATAATCTCATAAAATTATAATAAATTTTATTGATTAAATTTACTTCTATGAAAAAAGTTTCATATTTCATTTGCAAAAGTAAATTTATATAACCATATAAACAAAATGTCTTACAGTAAGAAAACAACTTAACAACTTTATATTTAGTAATACAAGTCAAACTAAACTCATTAATTATATTTTGCAATACAACCAAAACGAACTTATTAATTATATTTAGCAATACAAGCAACAATAATATATATAAATACAAAAACTCCTTAATTTTACAACAGTAGAAATAATATGACAATAGAAAATACTGTTGTATAATATTATATTGCTTACATATGTATAGAAACCTGAAAAAAATAAAACACAGATTATATAAAAGTATGTAAAGCTACTATCACAAATTTATTATAAAAATAATACTTACTGTTTTATATGTATACAGGGTGGGCCATTTTAATTTATACAGTCGATTTTTTAAAAAACTAAAAGAG